ATCAATGCCCTGTTGGCAGCAACGTGCTGCAGTTCCAGGAAACGCCAAATTTAGCACTACTCCAAACCATGGCTTCCCGATTTTCAATGCATGGCCTAGATCACTATTTTTTTTTTATGAAAAAACAGTTTCAAACAAATGCCCATTTCCTAGAGCACCGTTTTTTCTGATGTGGAGCTGATGTAGCATCATTGCTCCAAGAAACGACAACGATGCCAAACAGCCCCTGAATAAAATTATTATGGAGAATACCAAGTTGAAAAATCTCTTTCACACACACCCTTCAATCCCAATACACTTGAAGGATGTACTCTCACATTCCGGTTTTCTCCCAAATAGAATATTGGAACATGTATGTGAAAAAACACAACAACATAACATATTTGGGTTGTATCCATAAATAGAAACTGAGTTGAGGTTGTGTTAAGGGAAAATCCCAAAGCCCACCACTAACCTTAATGAAATTTCCCTTTTGAGTTATTATCCACCAAAGTTAGGTTGAGTCATCGAGTAGGCCATGTGCCCTATACTTCGAACCTTGTGCACGTTTTTTTTTTTTTTTTCAAAAACATGTTAGCGGGTTGGTCTTAGGCTTGCCCACCCCTTAAAATGTGTTTAAACCCCAAAACACCCATATTTCAGGCAAGGTTCAAAATATAGTTGGCTCATATTGGTTGATACATATTGTATTGGAGTCTTCCTAATATACTCTTAAAGGGGGTGTTTCAAGTCAGCAAGTGGTTCAGGGGATAGACTGACCCCTCTGAACCATATTGGAAAAAAATAAACAGAATAAGAACAGTATCAATACAGGCTAATACGCCCTACCCATATATCACCCACCACCAACCTAATAATTCGATATATATTGATACATTGCAAAATCTTGGTCATTGACCGCAAACAAGAATTTAAGGCACAACTCAACAAAGTTCAAGATTGAATGACGTTTTTATCCAATTATAGGGGTGGATCTATGTTTGAATTTTGATCTAATTATAAATTGATTGAATTCAAATTCGAATTCGGATTTTGCGATCCTAACCCCTTTTTGATAACCATAAACTAGATACCACCTAACAAGGTTAAAAAAAACGACCTGAAATTATAATTGCTTTATCCATTTTTGGTTCAAGTAGTTTGACCCTTCAATCCAAATGGTGAGCCCGTGACATTTTTAAAATACAAAATAAAAAAAAGCTAGGAAAACTATTGTTATGGTCAAATAATCTAGTGGTTCGATCATCCCAACCAGCCGTTCATTGACCGGTTCAATGGTTTATTGAGAAACTTTAGGCTAGATGCAAAATGGGAATCAGATAGTTGATCAGTTCAATTGTTAGGTCAATAATGTTTTTTAAACCATGCCACCTAAATTTGGTATTTTAAAATAGTAGTAAAAAATAGTATTTTTTAAAACTTGACTCGGAATAGGGGGTGGCCATGAGCTGAGCTCTTCATGAGCTATTCGAGCTTGGCTCGTGAAAAGCTCGATTCGGCTCGGTTTCAATTGAGCTTCGAGCCGAGCTCAAATATATATATATATATATATATATAATAAAAATATTATAATTATTAATTTTTTAAATATTAAATAAAAAATATTTTTATATATATAATTTTGTATTTTTATAACATTTTTTTCTTAAATCGAGCTCGAACCTTCTACTTCCTAGGTGAATAGAACTCGAGTCTTATATTATTCGGCTCGGTTAAACTCGAATCCACCCCTAACCGAGAAGTTGAATTGCTTTTCCTTTCAACCCAGGTCGGTGGCTTAACTATCCAAAATGGTTTATTAGTATGGTGTTTGCTATGGGATTCTAGTAAAGTTTTAGGAAGATGTATGGGCAGTTCAACTTTCAAGGATTTATTTTCTTCTTTTTATTTTATCTTCTTACAAATAATAATAATAATAATAACCGGGTTGTCTTTCCTCGCTTTTAACCCCTTTATCTCCTAATTGGGATTGGCTTCCGTAAAGGTCTAAGGAATTTTGAATTACCCACTGTTGCATATTTGCCTAAACTCACCTCATAAAAGAATTTGGTCTCCATTCCCCAAAAGGTTCCTTCTCTGTCACTTCTTTTTCTAATTCACATTGTCGTCTTTTCTTAGCCCCTTTGACTTTCTCAGTTCAGGAAGTCTGGATCAGGGCTATTTCCCTAAATGCATATTTACACCGATTGAGTTGAGAAACGATAATTTGGTGAGAGTGTAAAATACGGACCGGCCATTATGTCCATTTACACTCGTCTATTTGGTTAGAGGTTACCTTCTTTTCTGGGGAGATTTATGAGAGAGGGAGACGAAACCCAACAACTATTGGAGATTTCTTCTCCTCCATCGGTTACCTTGTAACCACCACATCCGCAGAAACCCATCGATGGAGGGAGCTGTTTTCTGGTTCCTATCGTTCTCCTTCTCCTCCTCAGTGTCACAGATATCCGCTGGTGCCAGTGGAGTTAATGCATTCCGTGTTGTTTCTACAGGCATAGTTCACCTGCAGCCTTGGATCTCCGCAAGTTTGGTTCCCAATCGCCCACTCCAGCACCACAGGAGTTCCCGTCTGGTTCCCAAACTTATATGGCATTCTCCCTAGAAAATTCCATATATCTGATTCCATGAAACCGAACCATTCATCCTCAACTAGGAAGGCGTAGCAGCAATTGGAGTCATCAAAGCTGTTGCTTTGGAGTTTTACTTGAAACGTATCAAGACCCCGAGGATTGGACGTCTAGCAACATCCGATGCTGGAACAAGATCCGTTCATTACATTGGCGATACTGCCACACACAGAGCTGCACCCACTCTGGAAACCGTTAGGGTTTACGTAATCGGACAGAGGAGCGTTAGTTAGCAGTGGTGAGAGAGAGAGAGAAGAAGAAGAGATAGCGAGCGAGAAGGAGAAGAGAGAGAGAGCGAGTGATGTAATTAATACACCGATAATTATCGATGTAATTAGTTGGTAAAGTGTAATTTTAGACTGATTTAAAATTACATGTTTACCAAATACTGCAAAATCGAACTGGGGTGTAAAGTTAACCCCAATTCGATTTTACACCTCTACCAAACGCAGTCTAAGGCTTTAGTGTTTTGTTGGAAAAATCAACACTTTGGACCTATTGCAAAAGAAAAGGCCTTACTTGTGCATTTCCCCTTTCTAGTGTTTTCTTTGCAAATCTAATGGAAGGAATTGTTTTCACTTATTTTTATCTTGCCCTTTTGTTACAACTATTTGGAATTGGATTTTGCATGTGGACTTCGCCAACTGAAGTAGCTCTACTGTTCGAGCTTTCAGCTTTTTCTTGACCTGCAACAAGAGGAAAATTGATCTGCAAGTGCATCCTAACAGCTTCACTTTGGACTCTTGGGGAGGAAGGGAACAACAGTCTTTCAAGGGAAGGAAAGAAGCCTCTCAAAAGTCAAAGACTACATTCTAACAAAGGTGATACATTGGTTGATAACGACAACTTTGTTTCATTCATTCTCCTTTATACTTTCGGAGAAATTGGGTTGCAATGGCTAAGAGTTTTTCCTACAAGTAATGTTTATTTACAAATTGGGTTTTCCCTCCCAAACGCTTTATTAGATTAAACTTTGATGGAAGTAGCTAAAGTAATCCTGACCCCATAGGTATAGGCGGGGTGTTGAAAGTAAATGACAACAATTTGGAATTAAGAGTATAAATTGAAGGTGATTCTCATGTAGTTGTGAGGTGGCTAAGGAACCCATAATCAATAGTTTGGTGCTTCAAGGACATCCTCAATAGTGTTTTGGCTAACAAGGAGTATGACTGTTAAATTCCACTGAGTATGAAGTTCGATAAATTCTTTGGCCGACTCTCTTGCAAAATAAGGGGTTAGTATAGAACATTTGTTTTGGGCTGCTTTGTAATATATTGTCCTGCATTCTCAATTCTGATGGGCTTTATGTTGGGTGACTTGTATTGCTATATCTTTTGATCAAAATAATCCATTTCCCTTACCTGTTTGGTTCATATGGGAATCAAAATTGGAATTGTTTGAAAGGAACTCTCATTACCAAAGGAGGGAGGGGGATGGCAATTCTCTCAAATAAATGGGAGAATGTCATTCCACTAAGAATGGAAACAAGAATTTGATTAAATGGTTATATTCCGATTTCAAACCCCTGTTCCTGTAAACCAAAAGCGCTTATTTCCCTTTTGTCATGTTTTATCCCATACGTTATTTTGAAAATACCTATACTAATGTTTAAAATAAGTGATTTTTTTTTTCACCACATACTCTAAAGTGCGTATTAGAATAAACACTTATTTTCAAATTAACACTCTATGGCCAAGTTTGGATAACAAGCACTTATTTTTAAATAAACACTCCATGGCTAAGTTTGGATTGAGACCGGACTTGTTCATGGGCTGGGCCAGACTTTCATTCTTCATTAACAGATTTTTTTAAGGTTTGAGCCTGGTCCTCATAAAAAGCCAAAGGTTTGAGCTTGAAGTCTAAAGCTCAATTTGTTGCTGCTGCTATTGCTCGAGAGAGATTATAAAGAAAAAAATATATTATAATAGATATTATATATTTTATATTATATAAATTAGTCGGGCCAGCCCGGGCTTTTTTGACAAACCCTAAGTCCAGCCTGAAACACAATTGGGGTGTGGGCCGGACTATCGGGCTACCTGGCCCATGAATACCAATACCAATAAGCACTTATTTTGGGTTGGGAAAATACCAATACCAATAAGCATTTATTTTGGATTGGGACAATACCAATAACAGCTTATTTGCATTTAGGAAATAAAACATAAATAATTTCTTCTTGGTCTGTCTTGCTCTCCCATGTCATTTTGGAAATACCTATACTACCCCCTGTTTGAAGTAAGTTTTTTTTCCCCTCATGTCCATGAACACTTATTCAATAAAGCACTTATTATTCAAAAAAGCACTTGTAGACTAAGCCTTTAATTACTTATAAAAAAGAAGACCAAGCCTTTAATTGATGTATTATGCCGGATACTGGGACCGTGACCGGGTCACGGGACCGACCGGACGGGTCAACGACACTGCCTAAAATACTGGGTCAGGAGTAGCTCAACAGAGAGGGAAGAGAAACTAACGCCCTTAAATTTTGAACAACTTCCCCCCTTCCCGGTTCGGCGGTTCCCACGAATAAGGACTCCAGGTCCAGGGACAGGGAGGGGGAGAACACAGAGAGAGATGTCACGTCGGCGGCTGCTTCTGTTGTTGAAGCCATTCAATGTCTACCCATCCAGATACAAGGATGAACTATCTCGCCCCATAAACCCTCAGGTACTCCTCCGTCCGACTTCTATGCGTTTCAATTTCAGTTTATAACTGTTGTTTTTTTTTGGTTCATCGGTAGAAGTTGTATGAAGTTCAGACTTCAGAACATTAGGACGTCAAGTAAGATAAAAACTTGAAATCATGAAGCGATTAAATCTTTGTGGGTTAGTCAAGATGTCAATAGAGCGTTGAAACTTGCGGACAAAAGTAGGCTTGGAAAAAGAATGCCTTACATTTTACTCTTTTGAATGAGACAGAGTGCAGATGGGATTTAATGTGAATTCCTCACTCAATAGGAAGTTTTCATATATTTTTTGGAAGGGTTGTCTGCAAGGGGAATGGGCAAATATTGCATAATGCATATGATACAGAATTCATATTGCATTCAATATGGTTTCCAACTTCATGTCTTTATTTTTTTAGATGTTTACACTGGAATGCATAAATCCATTGTTTTTTGGGAATTCAGTAAATGAGTTTTTTCCCCAATAAGAGTGGGAACCATTGTGGGTCCTCTAGGGACAAAATGTAAAAGTGTTGTTGAAGTTAAAAGTTTAAAACTAAAGAACCAACAGACAGTTTATAAATGGAAGGATTTTAAGATTTTCACCAATATGTAAGACTAAGAAACATGGAAAACAACTATTTAGAGCATTTCATTTTTCAAAATAGGGGAATACAAAAACAAAGAAAGATAAAGGAGAGTTAAGCAGTGGTTTAGGTAAATTATAATTAATCAACGTGCCCTTGTGCCCTTTTGTCAAAAGAAATATTGTAATAATTCACCGTACATCTTAACTTCCATTCACTGTATTGCATTTGCATTGTGTTTGAGTAAGGAAAAAATGAGCAGTATTTATCTTGTTAATGTCGCCCTGTTACAAATGATGAAATTCCCATAGAAAATCCTTCTTAAAAAATGGGAAAATTCAAACTGGTCTATGATGGGATGAAGTGTATGTGCAAATGTATATTATGCAATAAATAACATTAAAAACAAAAGCTTGTTTCTTTGCATGTCTCATTTCTGGGTTTTATTGCACAAATGGAAAACTGTTACATGTTTTCTGTATGCTATCTAGGATTTATTGCACAAAAACCTTTGAAATGATCCAATCAAAATGTTTGTTGTAATTGCCAACTTTGTTTGCTAAAATACATGATTTGCAATTTATCCAAAATTTGCTGATGCTTCTCATGAAATTTCTGGCCCTGAAAAAAATTATCAGGGTAATTCGTATGTAGTTTCAATGCAACAATGGTGATATTCTGAGAAAATATTCCATGTGTCAAACATTCTTGATGTACCACAAAAGAACCCATGTTTGCATTATAAAGTTATCAAATTTTGACATAAATGAGAGATATTTCACCTGAAATATTTTATATGGGACTTATCTTGGATATTAATGCATGCTTTATGTCCATTAGTGAGTATTATTTTGCTTTGAACTTGTTGTGCTTGTTATGTATTTTCATTTCTGTACTATTTTAGGGGGTGTTCTACAACATGAATTGTTTTCTTGTTGCTGGTTCCAGAAACAAATCAAAACCATCTTGTTTGAAAACAACTTGTTTCTTAAAACAAAAACATAAGAAACATGTTGATTGTGTATGTGTTTTTTGTTTTCAAAACTTTAACCAAAAACATGTTCTTGAATCTAGTTTTAAAAACATGTTTTCATTTGATTACTCAACATCATGTTCCATAAATCATGTAATTTCTATACTAGAAAACTTGTTTTTGTTTTAAAAACCAATATTTTGTTGGTTCCAAAAACATGTTTTGTTTCCTGAAACAAAATCAACTCATTTTTCCTTTTGAAAGCAAAAATAAAGTTCAAGAACATGTTTTTGTTTTTCTGCTGATGTGGCGATTCCAAAAACAAATGAAAACAAAAACATTCATGTTGTAGAACACCCCCTTAGTTTTGAGTATTAACCATGTTTTTATTAAGTTTTTTTTTTTTCTTCAAGTTCCAGAAAAGTATTCCTTTCCTCTAGAGTTTATTTACCTCAAGCTGGAAAGATTTACACCAGATATTATAGTAGCGGTGATGAACTCTGAATGCAGGCAATTGGATGCTAAATTTAGAGTTTTCTCTATTCAGCCATATCCATCTGGATTAATTAGCTGACACATTATTACCCATAAAAATAACATACTATGATTCACTTCATTTATTATCTCTTCTGCTGAAAGAGGAATGATTCTCAAATTTGAAGGCAGGCATTCTTATTTTATTATTTGTTGCCTAAGTTGGAAAAATAGTGATGACAGGTACTGTTACATGATCATATAGCATTTCATTGTTATCTTCTACAAAATGAATTGTTATTTTAGTATTGTTTCTTCAATATAACCCTCTAACTCAATTTCTTCTGAAAGCATTGTAGATTTTAGGTTATCTGGAGAATAGGTGTAAGGTTCATAAGGATGCCATAAACATTTGTCAAGATATTCTGCAGCGCAAGTCAGTTGATTGGAAGCCCATTTTACGTAATGATCTTGTGCAACCAATCCACAATGTTGATCTGGTTGTTACTGTTGGTGGTGATGGCACACTTTTGCAGGCCAGTCATTTCATGGATGACTCAATTCCTGTTCTAGGGGTGAACTCTGATCCCACACAAGTCGAAGAGGTTATAATATTAACCTGGTTAAACTTTTAGCATCTTCCCTTGATATCAATCTAGACACTGTGTTAGTTTCTATCCTTTACTTCTTTTAGGTAAACACACATAGTGTATTGTAATTTCATTTTCTTTATTATGTTTGGTGTAGGTGGAAGAGTTCAGTGACGAGTTTGATGCTAGAAGGAGCACTGGCTATCTTTGTGCAGCAACTGTCAAAAACTTTGAACAAGTAAGGCTGCACCTTGTTAGGGTAGCAAATGAGTGAATGGGGACCTAACACTTCAGTTAAATAACTGCTTCATTCTTGTCAGAAACATATATTTCAGTGATTGATTGCAATACTAGTTAATGAGCAAGGATTTTTTATCTGCATTCCTGTTCTGGTGGTTGATTTAGCTATATGTTAATCTCTCTCTCTCTCTCATGCAGATCCACTTTACAGTGGACAGTTTTGGCTTAGTTATTTGAATGTGGACAATCATTTCAGGTTTTAGATGAGATCCTGGGTGGTCACAAGACTCCTGCTAAATTATCAAGGATATCAGTTTGTGTAAACAGTCATCTTCTACCAACTTATGCCCTGAATGACATTCTAATTGCACACCCATGTCCAGCAGCAGTTTCTCGGTTCTCATTTAGGTATAGTATTCCTTGTGGAGCAGTGACATTTATAATTTTTTATCCAGATAATGTTTTGAGATTATTTGATACAAGCTCAAAGTTTTTGTCTATTAACAGAATCAAAAGGGATGACCAAGAATGTACCCCTTTGGTGAACTGCCGATCAAGTGGTTTGAGAGTCTCCTCTGCTGCTGGATCAACTGCTGCCATGCTCTCTGCAGGAGGATTTCCAATGCCTGTTGCATCACAGAAACTCCAATATATGGTACGAGAACCCATCTTACCTAAGGCAATTACATCTAACTTAATGCATGGGTTAATTGGCTCTGAACAATCCATGCATACTGTTTGGTACAATAAAGAAGGTGTAATATATATTGATGGTTCTCATATCTTCCACTCAATTCGACATGGGGATAATATTGAAATATCTTCTAAGGCTCCAGTCTTGAAAGCTTTCTTGCCTCCCCACTTGTCATCGTAGTATAATTTATACATAGATAAACCGATGTATATCATAGAAAAAAGAAATGGTGAAATGGCAAACCTGTGTAATGGATAAAATATTGATGTCTAAGGGAAATCTTTTTTTGATAAATATGTTTAGTGTCTACTGGAAATGTTGTAAATTTATAGTGTTTTTTATTTGACAGCTTATGCTGCTTGTAAAGGTTCCTTATATCCTTTTGGATACACTAAGTTTTTGAATTAATGCAATTATTTGTTTGTTGATAAAAAATGTGTGTTATAAGGCTCCAGTCTTGAAAGCTTTCTTGCCTTCCACTTGTCATCGTAGTATAATTTATACATAGATAAACCGATGTATATCATAGAAAAAAGAAATGGTGAAATGGCAAACCTGTGTAATGGATAAAATATTGATGTCTAAGGGAAATGTTTTTTTGATAAATATGTTTAATGTCTACTGAAAATGTTGTAAATTTATAGTGTTTTTTTTTTGACAGCTTATGCTGCTTGTAAAGGTTCCTTGTATCCTTTTGGATACACTAAGTTTTTGAATTAATACAATTATTTGTTTGTTGATAAAAAATGTGTGTTATAGTTTCATGCATACAAGTTTGGATTTTTGTTCCTAATTTAGTTTATTAGAAATTAATGATAAGCTGTGAATATATGGGATAGGCGTTCTGTAAATGTAGGTGTAGCACAGTGTTTCTTCAGTGAGATTTCCTTATTCCATCTTCCTAATTCCATCATTCTAGCTCTAGCAGAGGGTATAATATTGATCCACTGAGATTTCCTTATTCCATTTTCCCCTTTTCTGGGTCCTAGGCCATAAGTTGACATGTGATCTTTTCATTGCTCCGCTTCTTAATTTTCATCAATTTCAAAAGCTACCAAATTCAACAACGAGATCTTGAGTTTTTGCTCAGTGGATATCTGGGTTAAGTTCTCATATACAGGAGAATGAATATAGCTAAACATATTTGTGATGTAGAATGCTTATGAAACTGGTGGAGGTGGTTTGAACTTTTGGATTGGTTGATTGCTACCTAGAGGTTCTGTTGGACATCTATAGAAATTCTTTTGGAGAAAATTTCCATTTTGTTTGCTGTAACTGGATGGGTCATGGATGCAGACATTCTTAATCATCTAGCAGTATGGGACAGGATATTGTATTAAAGTAACAGCTATGTGGATGAATGGAATGATTGAGCAATCAAGAAACAAGGTATACACATAGTGAGTTGGGAATGATCAAATGATGCAATGGATGACTGGCAATATTCCCTTCCATGTTTGCAATATAGAGACCGTGTATGCTATCATATCTTTTATTGCATATGTGCAGTCTTTATTAACTTATATATGCTATTGTGTCATTATCTTAGTTTTAAAAAATCTTCTTTTTATGGTCAACTAGTCAGTGTCTAGGTATTAACTTGTTGGTGTATTCCCCAGAGAGTCTAAAGATGACTAGTCTTCTTTATGAGCAACAGTGGCAATTTATTAAGAATAGGTAATGACAAACTGGATTACTGGAGTACTGGAGTACTGGACTTCCCTTGATGATTGGAGAGGGGACAACAAAAGCATCCAAAGGTTGACCCACAGAGTTTATATCACCTTAGTGATTTACAATATTTATTCCTCGCCCCCAAACCAGCACATCCCTGTTGACTCCTTCCAAGCTAGAGAACAAGTCCTCTCACTGGCATTTCTTGGCACTCATCTGAACAAACAAATCAGGCACACTGCCAAGTTTTTTGCTTCTCTAATCGGAAACTTAAGATGCCTATTGAAAATAGCAGTAGTTCAAATCTTGATGAATATATTTGGGTAACAACTTGGTATGCATCCTCCCAAAAAGAAAATTCACCAAGGTTGAGATCTGAAATTGGTTATGGAGAAGTAGTTTTCAGATACAAGATCAAAGATTGTTCCATCTTGGTCATTTTTTCATCCTCTTCATTCTTCAGAGGGCTTGAATGGTGGTCCAATCGCCAATGGTAGATAGAGTGGTTATTGGAGATTTACCACATCCAGATTTGAAGGAAAAGGAGGACTTCAGATTGCAGTTTGAGGAGCCTTTAATATCAGATTGTTGCACTGTGTTGTAGGTTTTCCCTTTGAAGAATTAAATTGAGATTATTGTTGAAGATAGAGGGAAGAGCTTTGTGAGGTAGGTGATGACAATGGTGGCTGTTGGTGGGGAGAATCTGGTGTTTCTTTTACATTTTTAGTGGTTTGGATAGGAAATTTGAAGGGGTATGAAGCCCCTTTTATTTATGAGCCTGGATCTCCTGAAAGCAAAAATCATGCCCTGATAGCATGACATCCAGCTGCACATCGGGAATAGCTCCCACACTTGTATGTTAAATTCATGGGGAGTTGTTCCTGATGTGCAGCTGGGTGCCATACTTTTAGGAAGTCCTGTCTCTATTTATAATTTTGTAATTTTCTACAAGTTGACTAAACTACCTTTGATCTTGTACCATAATAATAACATTTATATATTTCAACAAGAGAGAATGCTGTGTATGAGTCTAAGTTTTGATTGCAATGTTAGAAGATGGGCGAAAGATACTGGTATTCCGGTGGGGGGGGTGGACATAGTAGGTTTTATGTGGAGGAAAGGGCCTTCCATTTTGTCTTAAATAGAGGATATTGTTGCAAATCATCAAAGGGTGGATGGAGCTATAATAGTGGCAACAAACCTAGCTATACTGGGTATAGATTGTGAGCACATTATTTTTTCTATGTACATTTAATAACAATAATAACCTTGCCATGAACCCAACCACTAAACATCCCCTCGCAAAGAACCGTCTCCCCAAGAAATGGAGTTTTAGGGGCTGCTTTTGTTGGAACCCTATTAAGAACCTACATGGTGGTTTTTAGGGCTTCTTCCCACAAATTCATGGGTAGGGTGGAGTTATTCATCATACTCTTTATCATGTTTGTTACTATCCTATTTCTCCTTTCTGCTAGACCATTTTGATCATGAGAGCCTAGCAGGGTGCATTGAGTGTCAGTTTCTTGTTCTCCTAGAAACAAGGCAAAAAGTCTAGGATTTTGACCTTTGTGTACCTCGCATAATATTCTCACCCTTTATTTAGCCAAATCACTAATTAATTTTCCAATTTGTTTATCTTCTTTGGCCTTGAAGACCTTAAATGCCTCTAGGGCTTCATTCATGCTCTAGATATAAATACATGTATTTTCAGTGATCATCTGCAAAAGTTATAAAAATACTCTTGACCACTCAAGTAGTGAGTTAGCAGAGGTTAAAATATGTCTATTTGAATTGGACCCAATCTTCATCATTCCTTGTGGCCCTTTTCCCTCTTTTATTTGTTTGCTTTCCTTGATCTTTGATGAGATAGACACATTCCCTTGCTGCCGCTTTGAATAGCTTGTTCAACTGGGTGCCTAGGTTTGCCAATGCTCTTGTAGATTCTTTAGCAAGGGCCGGGACATCTAGGGATCATTTGGAATGGGGATGCCCAGGGGCAGGGTTTAATGTGTAAATTTTGAAGCTAATAGTTGTTTTTCTGTTTTTATTTTGTTTTGTATTGGGTGTCTCCAAATTCTGGAGCTTGTTTTGTACTTTATATATCGTGTTCTATTGAAATTTCTGTTAATTATAAAACAATAATATTTTTGGGATAAGTAATTACAAAAAATATCAATTAAACTAAATAAAACAGATCTATCATGTAATCTATTAATAGCAGCATAATAGAAAAAATGTAATTATGTTAATGGTGGGATTTATCATCCCATCAACATGCATTATTACATAAGTAATGCCTTTAGAACCTTGACATTAAAACTTGAAAAACTACATCTTGAATTAGTATGATGGTGGAGTATAGTACAACAAATAAATCAAGCCATGTTGTAGGATTTGTATATTACTAAAATCCATTAAATAGGACCCAATCTGTACATAATAAACAATAATCCCTAAGACCATATAAGGAAATGTTAATGAACAAAAATAGTGATTCTAAGAGCTATAAAAAGCAACTGTCCTACAGTAGTCATGTAGCAATAGTCAAGAGGACCTGCTCTATACCAAAGAAAGTCAACCATGGTTTCAGGTAAGAATCTAAAAAAATCCAAACTAGTGTGTAACTAAGTTAAATTGCATTCGATTCTATGATAAATTGGTGCAATATTTATGGCTAATGGTTTGAAAATAAATTAACTGATCTATGACCCTTAGACTCTTCTGAAGTTGAGGAAACAGTGCAATCCATAAAAAAAGACAACCATGGGAGAGTTCGAGTCTGCGGTCAAATTGAGGAAGGAAGCAAAGATTGAGGCCAAAATCTTTTTGCTCAAGGAAACCAGTAGCAAAGGGCAAGATTCTTTGAAGATTAGAGAAGGAAGAAGAGCAAATGTTTTCCTGGAAAATGTTGCAGCAAGCTGGTTCAAAGGTTTTGTAGATGGAGCGGTTCAGTTGGTGAAACAACAAGGGTGGATGAACACTCTGAAGTTGGGAGGATGATTCGATTGGGAATGTCCCTTTGGGTGAGAGATTTCCTGCTCTTTGTGACCTGTCTAATTTTAAGGGTAGACCTATATCTGATTTCTTGACCCAACAGCTTCGTCCTTCTAGGTTGAATTGGAACTTTGGCTTTAACATGAACCTTTTTTTTGATAGATAATGAACCTTAGAGAAGCTGAAATTCCTAGTGTGTCTGAGTTGCTTGGCTTGTTCAATTCAGTGTGTTTGGGTGAAGGGGGTATGGATTCCAGGGTTTGGGACCTAAACTCTGATGGTCTGTTCTCTTG